TAAAAATTCCCAATATTCTTCTCTGCAGGCTGTAATCGAAGGATTTCCCAGTGGCGTCGCCGTGTGCAGCGGCCCGCCTGGAAGGAACTGCAGTCATCAACGGGGTTCGCGGTGCAAAACGTCGCTTTGGAAATAACTGCGTAACTTAAAAAAAAAAAAAAGAGCACAGTGATCCAAGCGTGGGGAATAACCATTTCGGCCTAGTGCTGGAGGAGAAATGAGCTTAATGTTTCACATACTTACAGTCAAAATAGTCTAGCCCTAGGTTCCTGGCAGCAAAGGTCAAGAACAGTTTTTAATGAAAGGTTTTGTAAAAATACAGTATTGCCACTAAACCACTGATTTCATGCTAACAAAACACGTATTCTGTAACCTGTTCTTTCAGCACCTTAACGTTGGGGATGAGATGGTCGTATCTGGGTTCCTGTAATGTAACTTACACCCATCTGTATTCTTTAAGGCATTTGACGTTTTTCCCAAGCCAAAACAAATCAGATTCTGGATGGCTGATGTCTGTACTGGGGGTGAGTTTTGGCAAGCCATCAGTTAAGATCTTTTCCAGGTAATGAATGCCCCAAAACATCTTTCTGCACAGTTACCTTTTTGAAATGTAGCTTGTTTTATCTAGGGGTCTACCTAAAAAATAATAAAAGGCTCACTGGTTAAAGTGATGGCTCCATATCAAAGTTCCCAGCCTTTAAAATGTCACCAAATAGTTCAAAAGAATAATTTTAAAGCATGATAGTTCACAAGATCCATTTTTAGGCTAAATATATATTTTGTTCCCATTGATATATTTTTTTGGTACACAGCAATTTAAATAGGTTTGGGAAACCTGATGTGAATTTAGTATTCACTTAAAAGTAGACCTTCATCTATGGCAAAGCAGATCCTGTTGATTACCAGCATGGTTACCACTGAGCCGCAGTTACACCAAACACCTCTTTACCTTGAGTGATGCAAACACCTCTACGAAAGAGGACAGGCTATTAAATTCATCAGGTTCCTCCTGTTATGCCAAGTAGAATTAGAGTTAGCAAATTACAAGTGAAAGGCTCTATAAAATAAACAGAGAATCTAATGAGACCACTACAATTTGCTATGATACTCCATTTCAGTGGATGTTAATAAAAACTGAATGTGTAACTTAAGTCTGTAGCCCTAAAATCCATTATGTTGTCCAGGTGGTGAATCCCCTTTGCTTAAGCACAAGTGTTAATAATTAATTTTTAATTAAACTGTCAGATTCCGGTATCATAGTTTTCCTGTTGTTCACGTCATTTTAGGTATTCCATAGAAATGTGTTTTCATTTATATCAGAAAGGTTTTATATTAGATGTCACACACTCTTTTAAAGCACAGGCACTGCCAACATTAAGAAATGCCTGACTGTTGAAGACACTTTATTCTTGTGGTGTAGAGCTTTAGCAAAGTATATAACACATCAGAAGTATTCATTAACATTATTCACAACTACAGTAGGCATAACTAACTTTTCAGCTGCGTATTTTAGTAATAGTTATTCATATTAATCATTCCTGTGGAGTGTGTACCAAGACGATTTCTTAAAGGGTTCTTTTGAGTACACCCTGATTTTCAGGAAGTTATGCACGCCTATAAAATTCATAATCAACTCATCACTGTATTTGAGAGCAATTACCACAACTGTTTGAATAACTAGTGTATCAGCTGGGAATCAGATGGGAAAAAGCTAGAACACTCACAGGACTACAGTCCTCACATAAATTGTACAAATGGTCAGCTCAACTGAATCGAGGTTTTACTGCAAGGTCTAGAAACTACACGTAGTCTTTATCTGCAAGAAATGCCTCTGCCGTAATTCCTCGAGGGTGTTACCAACTAGAGTGAAACAGGGAAAGACAAACAGTATACTCATAATATATTAACACTCAGCACTGCAGCTTAACAGTAATACCAGATTCAAATCCTGTTGTATAAAGAACCATGCAGATATGGCACATTTTGGCCCCCTGATGCCAAAAAGTCCAAAAACTAGGCAAAAGAGATGCAGACCATGAGATGTAAAATGGTATAAAAAAAAAAGCAGATGAAAGCCAGTATTATAGCTGTTTATCAACTTAATTATTAAATTAACTCCAAGAAAGCACAGATGAAGGTTAAATTGGATAGACTAGATGGTGACGTACTGAATTCTTATCTCCCTGTCAGTGTGGAGCCCACAAACACGTATGCAATAGATGCTGCTTATGCTCTGGTATTGTGCTTGTGAGGCAAAGCTATGCTGCGCCAGGACGCTCACTGCAGGTTAAGGGTGTCCTAAGTTAATTTATGGCAAGTTAGCCACTGAGCACTCGCTGGAATATATCTCACATTAGTTGTCTGTCAAGGGAAATTAATGTTTCAAACTATTCCTAGTAGAATTGAGTGCCAGCACAGTGATCTTTGCAGGCAGAGCTTAACACCAGAGCAAGAACTAGCACTGTACGTACATTATACTGCTGTTATTCAGCAGAATATCTTTCCTTCTACTGGGAAAAAGAAGAAAAAAAAAAAAAAAGAAAAGAAAACAAGATGTCAGCATTTCATTTCCCAGCAAGAGAAAGTACACTACTGATAGTGTAGCGTTTCTGGTAGAGCTGGAGGGATTTTGCTGGGTAGTTATCACTCCCTTGCTCTGCACTCCTCCTGTCTGTGTATTCTACAGACTTTTGTTGCACTTGAATATGGAAAAACCTCATGCCAGGTCTGTATTATAGCTGCATTCGCCCCTCTGTTTTTATTTCCCCCTTCTTCACTTTCCCACTCAAAGTGCCTAAAAGCTTCTCACGTTCTGTTGTGTTTTCTGATGCAACAGAAAACTCATCAATTTTTTTTTTTTTCTTGTCTCGCAAATACGCTCTTTCAGAAAGAACAATGGGGAAAATGCTTCTATAAACAAATGACATTATGTAATGTGTCTTCAAAGTCCTTATAGTTAAGGTTTATTTCACGCAACATGTCCCCTACTCACCACTCAGCTCACTTTAGGAAACAAACAAACAAAAAAGCGTTTACCATTTCACCCTTACCCTCTTTCTCTGTCAGATAAATCCTAAGTATTACTACACCAGTGTTTCTCAGCTTCAAGATCAAATTAGCAACATAACCCCTCTCTCAAAAAAAAAAAGGAACAAAAACACAGGAATCAATGGGCAATGTCATATCACACTACCAGTGGGCAATTAGCAAAGAAAAACAGAAGGATGAATATGATCATACTTTCACTAGGTAACAAAGTTTATCTGTAAATAGATTTATTGCTATATGTAGTCCAAAGGATCAATAGAAATTGTGCGTGCCATTTGGTCTTTCATTCATTAAGCACATTGATCTTTGAAAACATGATTCCGACTAATGAGCTGTGTTAAGTGGCTCTTGGATTCTTATTTTCTTGCTATTCTAGTGAAAGATCTGGACTCACAGAAGCTGATGAAAGAAAGAAAAGTTTCAGTGCTTCTGCACTCAGGTATCAGCTTCTCCACCTAATCTCTAGGACAATTATTTATTTACTTAAAGATTACAAGCATCACCAAATCCTATTTACGAGCTTGCCTAAAGTAGATTTTGTCATTACAAATGGAAGAAGGATCAAGAATGCAGAGTTCCCAATCAAGGAACTTCACTATAAAGTACTCTTCAAAAGTATTCTGAAAAGTACCAATAAAAAGACTGCACCGCTTCCAACCACTCAAGTATTTAATTCAAATAATGCATCATTTACTTGTTCTAAGAAAGCAGACAGCATGTCAAAAGATGCAGAAATAACTGCTTCAGTTTTTCTTGGAACTTTCACTGAAAACGTTTGTGGTTAAATTTTACCAATTTAACTGGGTCCATGCAGGTATTGAAAAATAAGTAAAATTATTCGATCTAATTAATCTTTAAAAACAGATCACAAAATACAGCTTTTTTCCAAAAGCAGGTCATGTACTAATTTCAAGATTGAGTGTCAGCAATGGTTCTTACAACAAACTGTAGAATTCATTGTAGAATAGGCACCCTTTCTTCAAAAGGTTTCAAGACACTTAGTATATTTGGCTCAATAAAATTAATTTTTTAAATAGTCTTTTGTCGGTAGGCAGAACAGAAAAGTCATTTAAAAATAAGGTGAATCCAGCAGACATCCAGAGAAGCAGCTCCATCACTGCACAAACCAACATATGTTTTAATAGCAAATCTTCTGAATTCAGACTTGTTGACGACTTTCTGCAGTTTGACAGCAAATAAACAGCTCTTGTAGGCTAACGAGGCAACTCGGTTAACACAATACTAGTTGACTTGCCTAACAGAAAGGCAAGTTACACTTTCTTTCACTTCAATGTGAGTTTTCCTTCAACAGCAATAGTCATAACTTGACTTCACCTTTGTACTAGAGTATGTGGAAGAACTATTGAGCTTGTATTTTTACCAGCACTCCTCTTCAAAAATCACTCAGCACACATTGATTGTACTCAACAAAAATCAAGGCAATGCTTTGTAAATCCCTGGAAATGTTCCATTCTGAATTTCTAAAGCCACTTGCTTTGGGTATGATGAACAAATTGTCTTACAACAGCCTACGCTGTACATATGGTTGGCAGGAAAGATTTTTAATCTTCTCAGTGGAAGATGGTAGTTTCATCGTTTTAGCTCCAACAAAAATACTCGAACTCCAATTATTACTTAATAGGCAATTTCCAATTTCAAGCCACATCTGTTTAAAATTTCTTTTTGCTAATTCACTTAAGCAGTGTTATCAGAACATTACAAAGTCATGGAAAAGTCATGCAGTGTTTTGGAAGAAGAAAAAAAAAAGAGATGAAAGAAAAACTGCTAAACACAAAGAAATAAATGCAACTCAACACAAGGCAGAGAATATAGCAGCCTTGAATACATAATACTCCACACACATTGATTCCTCATTACTTAACAATCATAATGAAACTATGCCAGAACAAAGACTTGCCATAGTAGTTTTCTTTTAGAGGTCAAAAATTAAATTGTGAGTGATGACTTATTATATTTATTTTTTTCCATATTGTTTGCCTTGCTGGGAATGAGTATGTATTAGGTGCGTTTATTTTTTTCACCATTTCACAAACCACAGGCTCAGCATTGGTGATGTGAAAGAAGTATTCTGCCAACTTTCAAGCGAGTGTCCCTATTGAGATGCAGCTGTCCAACTACAGTACAGCTCACTTCTCTGAGTTTTTGTGAGCATTAATTAGCCTCCGTCGCATCTCCTGGTTCCTGGCCCTGTTTTCTTCATACTGGAAAACAGATAAGGAAATTAATAGATCAGCTGTTATCATTAAACAGATAAGTCAAATTTAAAAGCGTAGAGAGCGTTTATTACTCAGGAACAGAAACAATATCTTTGACGGATGCATTAGAAATGCAGTTCTTGTTAATATCTATATATTGGTTCATTTTTACTTTGAAATTAACATTTATTTGATTAAAATACATGTTTCTAAGTTCGAGGTTATTAACCTAAAGAGTATTAGAACATTCTAATAAAGAAGATTCAGTTAATCTTATGGAGGAACTTAATTATACAGCCATCTTATGTACGACAGCTACACCTCACACATGAACTAGGAAAAAAGTTGCATCGGTGCTATTCTAGAGCACAGGTCAGGCTCTTTTCCTTCTAAAAGATACTGATTAATGTAAGTGTGTCTGCCTTCTGAGACATGAATTTGTCATCACAGACTTGGTCTATTTTTGATCCTGGTCATTAATTATATGCACAGATAAAGTAGTGTATCAGGATGAAAGGAACAAAGGCACATTTGGGTTGAATGAGGATAAGGTGTTTTGGGTTTTTTTATGGTTTAAAAAAGAAACGCAACAGAGACAGGACTCCAGTGTAAAAGGGAATCAAGAAAGCCCTCACAGTTTAGATACATGCATAAGTAGACCACGCTTTCAAGTATGCCCCTGCACTAGCAAAAGCCTGAAGACTGAAGAGCCTAACTTTCTTTCATTGCAGCCAAAAAGGAAACCTTTTCATAACTAAAAGAAATGAAAAATTAAAAATCAATGCATGATTTGGTATATATTTTATGAGAAGTAAATTATTCTTGGCCTTAAGTTAGAGCATATATTTGTTCAATTTTTTAATAATTGGTATCAAGAATAAAACCCAACTAACCCACAAATACTCAATTCTCTATAGAATGTAATAAACTATTAAGGAGATTGATTTTGGAAAGGATTTGCAGTTTTCCACTCATTATACTGATTGGTTTATAACTGAAATAATGGCCCGAAACATTACTTAACATTTACAGAATGCTTAACTTCTTTGCATGCCAATATTTAATTTCAATAACCCATCCATGTTTTTATGTAGAATGAGAACAATGTATCTTTAAAAGCTACATCTGTACCTATTCTCTACTTGTGAATAGCCTTTCAGGGGACTCCTAGTAATGGCATATCAATGTAGCTATATTTTAAGAAGGCAGTCAAATATAGCCATCAAGAACTACTTTTAACGTAAAGCCTTCAATGGAACAAAGAAAAAGAAGATTACATGGAAAGAAACTTTACTTCATTATTTTCCAGATCTGTGCTACAGTTTTTTGGGGGGGGGAGGGGTGGAATGGTATTTGACACAAGCAGATGAAATTAATTCCCATAGACTGACAGAGGGAAAAGAGGGGGTCCAAACTGTCCTGGCTATCATGCACTTGAAGTCTCCTTTTTTAGACACGATTGTGAAATTTATGTCAAAATTAGTTAAGTACAATTAAAAGGTGAAGGTTAAAGGTGTGTGAAAAGTTCATTTATGTGTTTTGTCATGTAGGCATGACAACCACAAATATAAAGACCAGTTGATACTCTTCTGAAAATGTGCCCATTAGCTATTTAATCTACTTAAACTCCTAGTCTTCCATTCCTTCATATCTGCAGATGAAGTACAGCAATGAGTAGGTCCTAAGCAGCAATATTTTCATTTAGGGCCTAACTCAGCAACCCATCAAGCAGTTTCAGGCAACATAACTGACTTCAGTAATAAGTGTTACTCATGCAGAAGTAACCATTACTGCTTTATATTCTATTCTGTGCAAATACCACTACTAAAAAGATAAAGAAAAAATCAGAAGAAACCTGTGAAGTGTCAGTTCCTATTTGCAATATTTGTTTGGTTAAAATGTGTGTTTGCCTATTTTTGTATATACAAAAATAGACCATGCCATTTGTTAAAGCCAGATTTTACCTGACAAATTTATAAAAAAAAGTTTAAATTTGGTCTCAAATGCCCACTCCAGAATGTGCTTACATTTCAAGGCCTATTTATTGATTTGTTCTACTTAGTAAAAAGCAACTCTATTTCTACCCCATGGACTTTTTTTTCATTAAGCATTTAACTCATAGTAAATTTGTTTCTTACCTCTTTCTTTAAGCACTTCCGCATCTCACGGTCAATATCATTGCAATGGCCAAAAAATTTCAAAATGTTGTGCTGATAAGTTAGGGAGAGAAAAAAAAATTTACAATTCAAAGGTTTCTTCCTCTGAAGCTCTAAATTTCTTAGAAGTCACTTGCATTTTGCAACATATCCTGGTCTTCTTTTCCTCTTCTCTTTTTGTGAAAAATGATGCTTTGTAACTTTTTTTACTGAGTAGCTAGAAGTTAGAACTACTCCTGAACCTCATTTGAACAACCCCCACCTTGCTGAAAGCTGAAGGTACTCACCATGTTGTACAACCAGACTAAAATAGGATACCTAAGCCAAAGCTATGAAGTCTAAATGTAGAACATACATTTTATTGATCTAGGAATCAGTCTTACAACTTTCACTCACACTAGCTTGAATAATGTACAAAAAAATAAATATTCTGAACACCAGTTTGTGATATAGAAAGGTGTAGGGAGATCTACAGGCACCCTGGACACAATGTCCTCTGTGCTTTAGTTTTCATTATTTCTTCATGATGTAGCATTGATGCTACATCATCTCAACCACATGAAGAATGTGTTGTTGGTCCAAAAGATGCAGGCACTAGGCTGAAATGACTGAAACATCAGAACCAGTATAAAAAATGGGGGATTAAGTTTCTCCAGACCTTGAGGTTAATAAATAAGATGCATTTACCAGCTCAGCTGTGGGCCTTATGCATACTTAAGTGTTACTTAGTTTCTGAAAAACTGCAGGCATTGTCCTCACAAAGGCATTCCCCAGTTAACCTGATGACAGTCACCAGAAAAATCTGTCCTCTTAGCCAGGATTTCATGAAGTGATTTCATATTATCAGCCATCAAATCACTCTCAGAATGCATCCTTCTAAAAGGAGTACTTTTTCAGAGTAATGCTTGCTAACATGCTACAGAATCTCATAGCAGAATCCGGTAGCAGAGCATCCAAGCAATTCAGAAGACCTGAAGGAGTGGAGGCTTTAGTAGATATTTACAGCTATACAATCAATAGAGGCAATTTGACCAATCTCGTAGAGAACTAATGAATTTTTAAAAAAAACAGATGATAACGAAGTCACTTCCGTATTTCAGAGGGAAACCTAATGCGCGTTTCTGTAGCTGATGAGCAGCTAGATGGATTTATACAAGTAATACAGGAACACTACTAAGAATTCAAACAGTGGACAAGATTTCAGCCAATAGAACATGACTGAAAGTAGGAGTGGGTTAATAAAGATGATGACAAACACTTAACTATAGCAGTGCTATAATTAGCTTGTTTATACCTCTCTGCTTTATAAAGGGCATCAGATGACACTCTGAAGCAGTTGCATGTGATAAATGGTCACTTTACTGCAAGCTGATTTTGCTTTTACAACATTTTCATTTTAGCTAATACAGATTTAATTTTGTATTCTATTCCCATATCTGCATGTTAAATTTCAAGGTGAGCGCTCACATTTCAAGCTAACTCCACTCTTACTAGTGCATACAGTGAGTTGAATCTACGTTTATTTAGCCAGATTCCTAAACTGTCAGCTTTCTGGCTCAGATTACAAGATAAAAAGAATCAGTTTCTCAGAAATAGTTATTACATCTATTACAGTGATATGATTGCAAGACAATATGCATTTCTTTCAGCTGCCACCTATAAAAATAAGTGTCTCTAAAGCACACACTTGGCACCAGAGTGGAGTTGTTAAAAAAAAAAAAAAAAAAAAAGACAACATCAAATAGGAATCCCATTAACCTCTCCTCACTTGATGCAAAACTTGAACTTGATATGATGGGCAGGTTCTAGTTTAGGAATAAAGTAAATCAAACTGACTTTTGTGAAAATGCACACACCCAATGAAAAAATAATGCTTTTCATCCCTCAGGAATATTAATTTAAATTGTAGACGAAGGTTCTTAGGACATTTTGGCATTATAACAAAACAGCAGGTAGTCACTGATAACTGATTAAGATCACTGACTTTTCAGATTTCAGTGACTTCAATTTTAACGAATTATTTCAGTACATTCCCGTTGAATTTTAAATGAAAAGGTGTATTGCTTCCTTTCAACTGAGTGTCAAAGAAGCCATCTTCACCCTTTCTGTTCTGAGACTGCTAGCACAAATACCCTCTCATAGTTGAGCACCAGACTGACAAAAGTAATTCCTCTTCATGTAAAGATCAACTTCAAACAAAACCAAGAGAATATAATCCTGTGCATGACTGTATTATTGCTGCTTCTAGTCCCTTCATAAGTCAAATTGGCAATAGATTCCTTTGAATCACTTGCTGCCAAGGAATTCAAGTACACCTTTTAGTTCCAGTTCCCTCTTAAACTCAAGACAGTCTAATAAGCTACATTATACAAAAAGCCTACGACACTTGTATATTAACATTCATTTCTATAAAAAAAAGAAAAACAAAACCAAAAAAAGAGTCAACCATTACTTTCAAGTAGTTAATGAGTATTTCTGGATTCTCTAGTCAAAGCATAGAAAGCCCAACTATGTATGTACCAAAAAGCAGGACAAATCTGAGTGTATTTTCTTTCCTGATTGGACTTGTTTTCACAATTATGAAAAATCAATGACAACATTTTGATTTTATATTAAAACTATAGAAGTTTTATTCTCCTCTTAACTTCTAGTCATTTTATTTCGCAATCCTTTTGATACTGTAATAGTTAATGTACAAGAAGAGTCTTCTCGCTTAATTCTGGCTATTGAACACTTTTAGCTACATTACAACATTAAAGTTGTTTAAAAAAAAATCAACTAACAAAAGAAAAAATCTCTCAAATTACCTAAAGCATTTTTAGTCAAATTAAAATTTTAGAACTCAGTAGAAAAGCGTAACTCTTACACTTAACACAACTTTTAATTTTAAAGCTTGGGGATGTTCTGTGCAAGAACTTTATATCTTAGGGTTAAAAAATTTAGACAGTGCATAGGAACAGACAGGCAGTGGTATGGGAAGTACCACCTATGAGATGGCATCAACAGATTCCAGCACGCTTACATTTCAAGATATTGCACTACAAGTGCCAACAAAAACCAATTAAATGTTGCTGAACAAACCCAGTACAGTGTACTCATTGCAAGTGAATTTTAGTATTAAGACTCTGCTCCCTTCATTGTTGTAATTTAGAAATCATAAGAAAGTGTGGTACCACAAAAAATTTTTTATATGTTAGTTTAGCTACTTTAAAATCTGCAAAAATGTTGTTATCCCTCTTTCATGCAAAATGTCTTCTCTCACATTTTGTGTATTAATCAGCCTTGTTTTTCTTTCTGTAATGACTTTTGCAAAGAAAAATTTAGAATTCTGCTCAAAACAGTAAAGCTAACATATGTATTGTCTTAGAATTTATGGATAACTGCATTACAAAAAAAGTATAACCATCACACCTGAACAGAGGTGAAAATATTGTAGATTGCATGTAATGGTGTAAACCATTGTTTTTCATATTCATATTCAACATTTAAATATATTTTTGTCTCGGTGGAAACTATGAAATTGAACTTTTTACACACTAATACAGAAATATATCTGTACAGAACATCTATTCAGAGTATGCGAGAGAACTGGGAAAATAACAATGTTGCAACAGTGCTGCAGATAGCTTTCATTGCAGGGGCTGACTCTTCTACATCTAGAAGTTTACTACAGAGCAAACTAAAAAAAAAGGCTTTTAAACGAGTGAGATGAAGATTCTATCTTCTTGAGGCAATGAAGAGCCTTGAGAAGCCTGAGGACAATTTGGCATTTTACATCCTTGGGTAGGGGCCTAATAAGAAGATGGAAGTCAAACAGTAATTCACATTCAGCTCTCAAAGCACTAAATGTAAGGCATGCTGCACGTCCGGATCCCCGTCAACACATCTGCTTATAAATAGACTGAAGCATCTGTCCAGTGGACAGCTGGAATATGGAAATGCTGTGAGCATACAAAAAGAGGGCATTTGAAGTTGCTTTTATTATTGTTTTTTTGAGGGGGACACAGTATTAAAAAGGTGCAGAAGTTATTTCAGTTCTTAAAATAGGTCCATACTTGTCAAGCTGCAGCACAGTAAATTTTAAGGCATGTTTTATTTTCTAAAGAAATCACTGGCAAAATTTTACACACAATTGTCAGATACCTCTTCAGAGAAAACGTACTAGCTACATTTCATGGCTGTTCTGCCTAGAGGAGGTTTTTTTCTCTATGATCATATAATATTCTCACTAATTTATCTGACATTCATTTCCCCAACCCACCCACTCTTTTCTCTGCTCAAAACTCCTTACCTCCTTGTGACACTTCTTGAGCAGACTGATAACTAGGTTACATTCTTCAGTGTGCAGATGAGGAGACAGGTCGGGATGCATCTTTAGTTAGGGATAATTTTAGTAGTACAAGAACAAGAATCTGAGAAAACTTCCACCTGCCAACATCAAAATATGAAAATATAACTAGAAAGTTTGAGTTGACCACTTAAGATATTATCACACAGTATTATTTTAACAAAAAATATTTTAGATCAAAATGCAGCTTAATATGTATAATTTATATTACACAGTTAAAGTAATTAAAACGAGCACACATCTGTTCTTCTACACAGCCCAAATGTTAAAAGTTAACTAGAAGTTTACACTCTTTGCTATCATGGACATAAGCATGCATTTGGGATTTTAATTTTCAGGGACTCCCTGAACTTGAACTGCAGATTATCTTTTCACTTTCCTACTTCAGTTTTCTTCTTTCTAGCTTTAAAAAAGCTAAGTATATGTAATTTTCTTTCTACCTTCTACAAAGATGGATCGGAACAGGAAGCATAATGATATTTCATTATAGCAGTCTGAGAACTGGCATCTTTTTTTAGTTATCTACATGCTTTTTAAAAAATCCTGATCCAAATCATTGATGATGCTTTAAAAACTAGTACTTAATGACTTAATAAAAACAGTAATGATTTTTTTTAATTATGCCCAACTGGAATGTCCCTTCTTGCAACTTCACATTGTTGCTTCTTGTCCTTTCACTGTGCTCCTCTGAAAAGCATCTGGATCTGTCTTCTGCATGAATCCCCCGCTCCTTCAGATAGTGGAAGAGAGCATTTAGGTTTCCTTTGAGTCTTCTCTTTTGAATGCTAAAGCTGCCTAGCTCCCTTAACCTTGCCACATATGCCAGCTGTTCCACCCTCCTGACCCTCTTAGTTTCCCCTTTGCTGGACTCGGGTTTTTTTATCATCTCTGTTAGACTGTGGGACCCAAAGATGAACACAGTATTTCAGACGTGGCCTCAAGACTGCCAAGAGGAGGGGAATAACAATAACTTCCCTTGACCTGCTAGCTACACTTCCAACACAGCCCAGTATGCTGTTAGCCTTTGTTGCCGCAAGGGTGCACTGCTAAATCATGTTTTAACTTCATGTCAACCAGGACCCCCAGGTCCTTTTCTGCAGGGTTCTGTGGGGCAGGAGCAAACTTCATTCTTTTGCTGAAAAGGATGAAAGCGTCATGATGGTGGCCGAAATAAGATGACATCTTTGTTGTGGAAGATCACTTCCCCAGGGAGGGAAGAAGAAAAGTCCAGTTCGTACCAGGACAAACGGGCTCATCTTGACAAAATTCTACTTATATGACCCATACTGCCACTGAATTAGAGAGATGCCTTTTTTTGTTTATTTACTTAGTATTTTGTCATTCCCCCTCTTCCCACAGAGATCACCTTTCTAGCTGCAATACATCAGGCAAATACCACTACAACTTGTACGAAGTAGCCATCACTGTTTTAACACTCCAGCTAAACAGACAAGCTAAATACTAGTAGCCAGTGGTCAGATGTTACAATTGCAAAATCCCAATATTCAGTTGCAGTGCTGGCAGCTATAATCTACACTGCTATTCCTAGAATACTCAAGTAATGTGTTTGGCTTGAAGAGGTATGTACACTAATTTACCCAATATCGCCCATCATGTTCAGCTTAACAAGAGCTAGCTTCCCACAAGCAAACTAAATTTTAAAAAACCAAACAGTTTTAAAAGCCTCTTGAGACCCATGAGAATATGTTCCACATAGTGTTGCAAATACATGTAGTAATTTCTTTCAAAAATCTTCCCCCATATTATCTGGAAGTCTAATTTTACACTACATATACTCTTAGCACAGAACAAGTTGGAAACTGTGCAAGTTGCTTAAGCATTCTATTCAACAAATTAACAAATGAACCTTTAGAAATATGACAGCAGGAGCACGACTGTAACAGCAAAGTGATTAAGAACCCTGCTGTGTTATTGCCACCAGCTTTTGATTGCATGTCACACAAAGTCAATATGTTTTAAAATTTATCAGTAGATTTTTTTGATAGCACTAGAGTTAGCATTCCCGAGAGGGTGACCTGCTCAATGACTGCACATTACTTTAACATGTGTGAACCCAGCTGATTATTAAATCTCTTCATCATTCAGCCTCCGACCTCTCTTCCTAAAACTGTCATCTGAGCTGCCTGTCTCAGGAGAAAGCAGGACCAGTACCCTAGTGAAATAGGTAGCGTGCACACCAGCACTGGCCAGAAAGTCAAAGGGAGCACTTCAAGGAAAGATTCATTATTTCTAAACTAAGATTAGCAATCACTGCCATTGTTTACAAAATTACTCGCAGATAAAGTGGATGAAAGCTATCAATGCGGCAAATAGATAGGTGACAGTGTATTTCATCAATTAAAAGCCTTCTAACGACTCAGATGAATTTTCCAATTGACATCTCTTGCAGGACAAATACTGCAAATCACAGGTCCTAACTGTCACACCAGTTCATAGATCAGTACTCCTGAAATTCATTTTCAAATAACATTCAATATTGAAATCTTTCAAGCTCAATTACCAGATATGGTACTTAGCTCATATTCTACGATGGATTAAAGTAACAAAACATCTTACAGTGGTCATGGAAGGCATAACTGGAACCTTTAAGTACTTTTGAAGTTCATGACTGAACAATGTTATCAGGCCTCAGTATTGTATTTATGTTTAGGAGTGTCAGATTAGACAGTGATCTGTAAATGATCAGAGAAGGCTAAAATATTTTTGCTGTAGGGGAATGACTGACAGACAAAAGAGTTTCAAGAATAACAAAAACACATATGAAAAAAGGACAGGATGAGCTATTGGTTTCCTTAGTTTCTTTTTAATAATGTTCTAATCTAAAATAAAGATAACAAGTTGCCATCTTACTAGAATTTAAGTCCACATGGACAGAATTTTATATAGGTGGTAGTTCATAAGGAATCTAAGTATGAAAAAATACTGAAAAAAAAAATTTACAGAAAAAGACTGGGAATAAGCCAATATAAATTTCTCTGAGAAAACTACTAACAGAAATGCTGGATAAAGAATGTCAAGGTAAACATGCAATTGCAGTAGAAGAAATATTAGCAGCAAAGTAGAAGAACAATATTAAGAAAACACAGGAATTGCTTTAGGAGGAAAATGGACTGCAAAATGCTAAGCAAACATTAATATCTGAAGCGACTGTTTGGAGAGAAGTATTTAGATGAACTCTTAACATAAAGGCACTGACATATTTCACTGGGTTGCACAAAAATGGTCTGCCCTTTAACGTGTTTTATATGAGATTTTGAATTCTGTGCCGTTTTTCCTTCCTTGTTAAAAATTACACTACATGTGTATCTAAATGACTTGGTTGAAATGCCTTAAGAACTAACTGCAAATTTCTATAAATTATTAGCCTCTGAAGGTAGAGGACATGGATAAAGATGATTGACCTTTCAACTTCCTCAACCTGTTTCAGGGGAAAAAAAGATTTAAGAAATTGTCTGGTTCCAGTATCACATTCTGTGTGGTTTATTTTAAAGTGGGAAAAATAGGGGATGTTTCCAACACAAACCAGTTTTTTTTTTTTAAAAATCAAACCCCTAAACTTAGAAATTCTGTGACAATGTTACTGAATTTCCAATGCTAATATTTTTGTTTAGAAAAATAATACTTATAAGTTAATTCCTTGCATAAGCAATCCCGGACACTAAGCATTTCAAATTGCTGAAGATTTCCTAACAGGAATCAACATATAAGTTATCAAGAAGTGACATTCATCCCTAATCTAAAAGCCTATCTATATACATGTTCAATGCATAAAATATTTAATATTAATGTGCAAAAGGAACCAACGCGTATTATGGAATTCACAATAAAACTGCAGATACCTAGCAAGAAAGCAGAAACCAAAAGGCTGTCCAGAAAGAGCAGGCAAGAACACTGTATGCATTTCATTCACACTCCTGTGAGACACCAAAATCCAGGATGAAGTGCTTGTTTCTCTCCACTTGCTAATTTCTCCTCCTGACCTCCTTATGGGAAATAGTAAAAGGACCTAGCGGTGTGGAGAAAGAAGGGTTTGGTACATTCCCACTTCTTTCCCAAATGAAGCATGAGATCAGCATGTCAGGAGTCCAGGGAAGTTCCTTCCTTCTTTTCTGGAATCTCCCATAAATATGAACTCACCAGTTCCTTGATGCAGAAGGAAAACTAAACTAGGCTGATGTAGTCTCGCTGATTAGCTTAATGCTTACTATTTCCATGTTTGGGGGATGACAATGAAAGAAAAAGTTTAAATCTAGATAATTGTTTTCCTAAGATGCTTCTTTCATATTTCATTAAAACACATTAGAGTATTTCTAAGCCAAGTTTTGCTAATTTTTCCATTTAAAAAGTTGCACACAAAAGTAATTTTTTTCAAGTTTCTAAAATCAATAGTAAAAAAAGAAAACCCATGAATTCACACATTGCTCAGAAAAATGACTTCTTGAAGCAAAATGCAAATCCTCATTTACCAACCCTGAAGATGAAAAATTGCATCTCAGTATCTACATTGCTAATCATTAGGCTCCTTAACCAGAAATACAGAGCTTGCTTTCTACAGTACTACAAAACACACAAATAATACCCACAAGGCGGCAGCACGGCCATGCAAACGAGAACACGTACTAACAGAGGGAAGGGCGAACAGATCTGCAAATTCCTATAAAGCTCACTCGCCATGTGTAACATTTACTTTTAGACTTCATTTCACTGTCTAATTTGTGTAAGACCAGACATTTTGGTTTTAACTTCTCAGTGATATAGTATTGTTCTGTTTGGCTTTGGAGAAAAATACTTACAAACCAGCTCTTTGTTTACTCAAATCATGAGTGTTTTCTGTAAGATTATACAAAGTTTTAGCATAAAAAAGGATTCAGCTCCACACCAAACTGGTTGGTGTTACCTGGAGATATCATTCACGTCACTTCAGCAGAACTTCTGCATTCCTAGTATTCTCTCATACACAATTTACAAATATTTTTGATAACCACTTAGAATACTCAGAAGATCAGTGAAAGAAATCACAGTTGATGAACACCATTTCAAAAAGCCTAGGGAACTCTGAACTAA